AGGGGGGGGTCACTACGAGCTTTTCGTTGCACCTCTTTCCATGCGTGCGTAATGGAAACAACAGAGAGAGCGATGCCCTTGGACACTCGATCGTCGCCAAACCATCGTGCACATCATGATTTTCGCTAGAGCAGTATCAGTGGTAGCTTACGGCTATGATAACACAGTGCTCCACAAGAGAACCGGTACATACTCCCTTCAGATGACATCGCACCAATAAACCATTCTGTATCATTTGGTTTTCCATCTACCACACAAACGTGGGCAACACATTCGTCCGAGAAAAAAAATATATATACTGCCAAGTTTTCGTTCTGAAGCGGTTGGACTACCTGTTACTTGGTCTCTGGTCGTAGATAATGTAGATGTAAAGTGTCGTAGATATCGCAGACGTCAAGACTCACCGGAACGAAGACGACTTCGGGAGCCTCAATGGGATAGTTCGCCGGGAACCTTATCCTGATGCGGTACGTCTCGCCCGCATATACGGTGTCCGCTGCACCTGGAGCGATCGATTCGTTCGTTCGACGCCAGAACAAGAGGGGGGGGACAAGGGTTAACGCAACAAGCTCATGTCTACATTTTGGGCACCAGCGAAGACGCGCAAACACGCAACAAAAAAGCGATCCGTGCGGAGCGGGCTCATGAAAGCACAGCAGTGTCATCAAGGGGAAATGCATTTATGAAAATGAAAGCAAGCAGCAGGACCAACACACAGCTGACTGCCACGGTAGTCATGCTTCCCAAATCAAAACAGCTGACGTGCTATTGACTCGTTCGATGCCAGCGAACCCCTACGAACCAACAACACAAATCGGTAACAGTTGTACAAAGAGGAGGGACCTTCCATGACGAACAAGATACTCCACGTGAGATATTCTACCAAACCACTCCTAGGTCTCTTGGTAAGACCGGCGCCGTTCTGGAGTAGACGGGGGCCGTTTTTTTTTTGGAGCTAGACATCTCGCGAGAATAAGGAAACGTCAAGGTTTTGCATGCCAGTTCAGAGAGAGCATCTTGCGAACATAAAAGGCTTGCCGAGGGAGAGCAATCTTGCAAACATAAAAAGGCTTGCCGAGGGAGAGCATTCGTACGACGCTGCACCCCGTAGGCATTGTCAACAAACCCTGTGCTGCCTAGATGTGGACGATGCAAGTCGAGACCCTAACGCGCGCACGCACATCGGGAGAACTTGTTGGGGTTTGAAAATGTGTATATGCCGCCGCTGTCTTGTGGTGCTCTCTCTCTCTCTCTCTCTCTCTCTCTCTCTCTCTCTCTCTCTCTCTCTCTATCACACACACACAATAACTTACTCTCCCCCATGCCGCCCCCCCCAGGGTCCCGGTTAATGGCAGATAGAAGTGTTTCGTGTTTTCACCCACGCTGAGACTGACGTCTTTTCATTGGTCAGCCGGTGAGCGCGGTCGATGCTGATAATAAAACACACACACGTACGCTCTCTTTCCCAGGGAAGGTTAAGGTTGGGAATTGAGAATCCCCGCCTCTCTCGCACGGGAAAGTGCCGGGTGTGCCTTTAGTTCATACACGTGCGG